CAGCAGGCAGTTTTTGTTTGGAACCAACTTCACTGAATCTTATCTTTGCAAGAGATGATAACAATTCAAGGTAAAACAGTTAAGTGCAGACATTTAAAATCCTCTCCTTGGCACTTAGTTGCTTTTTGAATACTAGCAGCTGGAATGGAGACAGTTACTTGCTGTATTTTGAATTAAAGGGAGGAGGAAAGCGTGACGTAAGGTAGGATATTGCCAATTACTACAAAAATCCTCTGCTCCATTTGAAGTACTTTGCCTTTACAGTGGTGCCTTTAATTTCTTTGGTGTGTTGTCTCTGGTCAGTTGTCTCTGGTCAGAGCCCAGCCTGAATGGTGGTTACAGTAACATGTATATATATCCTGTGCCCTGGTAGACACAGTCTGGTATGTTCCTCTCCAACACCCAAGTCATAATCCAGCCATTGCTGGTGCTAGGTTGGTACTCACTGGAGTTTAAACAGGAGAGCAAAAGCTTCATAGTTGCATCTTAACCCAAGTTGCACTAGAAGTGTATAATCAAGTAATGAGTTATTACTACTTGTACTATCTGGATTGGAGGGTAAAGCTTGGGAGAGGAAGAAAAGCTAGGTTTTCAGTCTGAACAAGGGATACCATGACAGACATTTAAATCATGCAAAAGTCTTCTCCCTGCAAGGTTAGGCCAAGCTGCATAGAGCCAAGTACAACTAAGAACTATAATGGATACTAGAAGAAAGGCATTTTACTGAATTAGAGTTCAGATTTGTCTCAGAGGCATGCCAATACCTTCTTTTCTAGCGTATATGAAGTAGTTACTCCAATGCATGTTAGAGCTAAAGGTCATGTCTGTCACAGATGAGCTCGCCTATCCAGCATTCTTAAGGGCAGAAGAAAGTTCCATCACCTTTTCAAGAGAAAGTGGCTTACTGTACAGCTTGGTCTGTGAAGCAGTGTTACTGTGATACTTCTTCCAGTTTAAGAACTGTGAAAGTCAATGGGTGAAAAGCCACGGCCCTCTTGGTGACAGGCTATGCAAGTGACAGGCATGCTTTGCTCTGGGAGGTGAAAAGGCAGTGGTTTCTGGAATAGCCGGGCAAGAGCACTCTGTCCTAATGCAGAAGTCTAGGTACAAAGCATGCATACTAACCCCAATTCTCTCATCACAGCTATTACTTCTAAATTAGTTGCTGTCTCCTTTCCACCCTTCCACCTCCCAAAGCTAGTGGTCTAGTGATTATGGGACAAGACAACATAAATATCTTTTGTGAGGGACTGGAATGTACTGACTTAACAGAATATGTCTGGCTAAACCAGAGGGTACTAAATGGCTGTGAACCAGGATTTCAGGTCCTGGTTAGTGCAACATGCCATTCAAATGGGAATGTTCAATTGTTTAAATAAACAGGTGCCTTGGGCTGGTCCATCATTAGGTTGTTAGCCTTCCTTTTTATTTATGTTACAGTATTTAGAATGGACTGTAAGTTGAAGCCAGGATAAGTGTTTTCATGAGTGAGACCTGGGATTATACTCCTCCTTCCTGTCTTGGAGTTTATACAAAGTTAGTTGTTTGTCTTGCTGTCAGACAGAAATGTGAGAGCTGCATCCTTTCCTCAACACTGCAGGTAGCAGGTTCAGCCCCTGCTTATTTTATGTAATGTTTTCCTCACACCTCCCCTCCAAATGTCATAATTTAGAGGTCTAGAACCACCCCATATTGGAAGACCTCTGAACTGCAGAGGAACAGAAAAAATGACTTGAATGGTATTTATACAAGCTACTCAACTTACACGGATAAGAATATTTACCTATCAGCCTGTGTCTCTCATGATCCTCTCATGATCAAAACAGCATTAACAATACCAATTTTGAAGGGAGCTCTTGGTTACCCTCAAGGAAGGAATCACACTGCAATGAGAGCCATGTGATACTGCAGAAGAGAATTAGTCATCTTCCCTGTAAAATGGTGCAGATGAACCAGAAGGTAGTTCTTACCCTCTTGCCCCTTGCAGCAGGCTGGCTGTAGTTCTAACAGCTCTGATGTTTTTCGCATCTTGCAGATGTGTGGTTGCTCCCATAGGCCTATGGCTGCGTAGAGAAACTGCTTACTAAAACATGGGAATTTTTTAATACAATTAAAGCTTACCTTTTTGAAATGGCTGCTGCCTCGTCTTTTCTGCCACTCGAGCAAAAGCATGGCTAATTTTATTAGAGAAGCATCACCTTGATGAAAAACTCTGTTGGTGAAAACTGCCCCTGACTTGGAATGAGCCAGTGGCTGCAGAGCAACGTTGCAGGTGTCTCTGTGGCAAGCAAAAAGAGCAGAGCACAGCCAACACATTCCTTGGACAGTGACCCAGGGGTACGCTGGGCACTCTTAATCACTGCAGATCAAAAGAAAGCACAAAACACAGGCCCTATCACCAGCATATCTATTAAGAAGAACTAGCAGGCCTCTACCTCCCTAGATCTTAGCCAAGAAAGGGATGAGTGCTTGCCCCAATAGCTTAGGTAATTAGTTTCTCCACAGTATAATCAAGGGAAGGACAGCATTCGGTTTGGTTCTAGCACCATGCAGAAAAACAACCCTACTTCCCCTTTCAAAGCATTTTTTTTCCTTCAGCAAGGCTCCAGCAGAGGATGCTGTTGCAGCAGCATGCAGCCCGGATGCAGTCTTTAACAAAGATGCTGGAAGTCAATTCACTAATGTCCTTATTTTGATGACAGCAAAGGATCAACAGATGAACTTAGACTAGATCACAGTGTAACACAGGGACTAAGTACAAACAACAATCGCATCAGAAAAATAAGGGTCAATTTCTTTTTCTTCCAGTAAGCAAGGCAGAATCATGTGAACTTCTAAGTTATAACAAGAAGGGCAACACATAACCTTGCCTAAGTCAGTAAGATTTCCTTTCAGCAATTAAAGTGAAGCTAAAACAAAAGCTCAGAAAAGCAACAAAACTAATTACAGTACTGAGGCTCAAGGGGATGTAGGTTGCATAAGAAGTGGTGAACGATGTTTACATTAGAGAAGAGCAACGAGACACAATGAATAATAAAAGTTATTTGGATGCCCTTATTTGTGTTATACTACTACAGGAATAAAAGTAATACTTACAAAAAAAAAAGACTCATTTGGCTTGTTAAAGAGTCTTTCCGCATGTACTTTGTACAGCTTTGGGTCAATGATGACATTTTCCAATTTGCTTCTGTGTAATATACCTAAACTTGATCAAAGGAATATTTTTCTACTATATTATTAACTGGAACTCTGTGCTGTTGAATCTGGCAAGATGAAAAAAAATAACATAAATATCTTACCCAGATGCATACAGGGAATTTTATACTTCCTCTGAAGCTTTCTATCACCAATCTCCAATTTATTTTGTGACAGAGGAGATAACCAACCACCTGTTTTAATGTGGCAATTCCAACATTTCATAGACTTCCTTAGCATTACTCCCCCAAAATAATTTTTTCCCAGGCTTTGCGATATCTATACGTAGGTAAAGTAGACCTAAACTCTTAAAACACAAGGACAAGCGTGCTTTCATTTTACTTTAATATACAATTGTATTAAAGCAGTAGCATCTGGCACACAGCACTCAGCCTGCAGTGCTGTAAATGGAACACTGATGACTTCTTTGGGGGAAAAAAAAGATGCCATCAAGTTAACATGCATTTCTCAGAATTTTCATTTTTAACCCCTTTGAGACTAGCCAAAGCAGCCACTTCCAATGGAAGTACCTTGCGCATAAAAATAGCCAAGTGGCTTATTAGTCTGGGGGGGTTAATCAAGTTAGGGAGGTCTCATGTGCCTTGAAGAGGCATTGGCCCTGGCCCCTTTGACATGAATTCTCACTGTACTGCTGCATGGAGCATCTGCTCTCTCATTCTGGGATCACAGAAGAACCGGAGCTTCTGGGGTAATAGCTTCACCTCCACAGGCATAGCTTCATACTCCTCATTATCAATGCCAAAGGATCCCTCAGTGCCCTGTGTACAGATAACAGTGCTGGTCAGGGTTAAACATAAAACAGATTATTTCAGCAATGCTGTAATACTGATACCTGATTTTACTAATAGACTGTTGAATACTTAGCTGAGTCTTAACCAAGATGACCCTCTTCCTATGCCTTCCAGCCCATTTGGTCTCAACAACACAGTGAGAGCTATCCTTTCACTGCACGTAATATATTAAGAGTCTGTTGCATAAGATGTTACCTCAGTTGCTAATTGGTGATAATTAAATGCTACGGAGCTTTAATGACCCACATTTGTTTATACTGAAGGATTCTTTGCTATTGGAACTACAATTATATGCACTTAGATCTTGGTCTGCCAGTGGTGACACAAGCTAATCTGCAGAAGTGCCTGTTAAATAACTCCTATTAAATCCAAGTTACAAACACCTTTTGGTATTGTTTTACTATATTGATCTGAAACATGAGATGCAAAGTAATACACAGATCAGGAATTACTCAGCAGTAGAATTTTCTTTAATGCTGATAGTCACCAATGACTAAAACCATTCCTCAATATATCAGGTTGACTTTACTTAAACAAATCTGGTGACTGCTTTGCATGCACTTGATTCAAGGTAGGGCTATGTTAGATACACCAGAACAGCAGATTAGAGAAAGCAGCACAGGTTCTGGAAGTCAGAGGTACAGCAGTCCATCTGGATCAACATATCCCGCTTCTCTGCAAAGTTGGTGACACTCATCTGCCTTCAGTGCCTTCATCAGAACTAGGTCATGGAGTCGAACAGCACTGCTTTGTGCCATGCACGCGTACTCTGAAAATCTGGCAGCAGCTGCAGTACGAATAGCTCATTTTATACTACAACCCTTACTTACAGCTCAGCTGTACTTAGCCCGGCACTCCAGGGTATTCTTTCAGAATCCCAAAGTTGCCATGATATGACTTCAATGCAAGTATTGGGATGCTGGCTAATCATTACATCGTAATTCATGATTTTCATGTAACAGCAACAGATTTCCTTCACCTTTTGGCACGTTCTATTCTCCCTTAATATGGAATTATTTTGCCAAATGATAGATCACTTGAAGACAGAAATTATCTATGAGATTGATTTCATGTCTTTGTGAAAACAAGAAACTGTCCTCCCCAAGGCCACAATAACAACCTCTTCTTTCTAAAAGGGAACAAAAGACTAATCCAAATTACATAGGTGGACTGAGTTTTGGCTTCTTCTTCAGCCTCATTTATTAAAAGTTCTGAGACACTTCCCTATAGTGATCTGAGCCCCACTGCCTTGTTTCACCCTCACTGGTTTCCATAAAGCTGCTAATATTTATCGTCTTCTCTACAGCACAATCCCTTCCAGGGTAAAATGTACACACATCTTCAGTACTAAGGAGAAGTTGTGCATATGCGATATACCTGAGTAAGAGACCCTTTACAACTACCACTGCTGTCTACATAAAAGGTCTGCCACTATTTATTGGCAGAATGAAGCTCCCCCTCTGGTTTACAGACCACTTGGGAAATTCCAGTATGTGTCTCCTGGCCAGGGACTCAGTTGCTGCACTGAGGAACTGAGCATCTCGCTGGCAACCTCCCAGACTAGAAGCAGGGATTTCTTAATGTGCAGCATCAACTAGTACAAGGAAATAAAGTGACAGAGTTTTCCAGCTCGCACATCTTCTCACCTCTGGAAGTTGCAAGATGCATCTGCTGGCTTGGATGCACTGGCTCCCTTCAGGGCACATATGTGGATCACACATCTTTTGACTTCTGTTCAAAACAAGAGACAGGTAAGGTAAGGAGATGTTTCTCTTTGGAAACAGCCATATCTTTAGGGATGACATGTCCTTGTGGGTTGGTAAATCACTATGCATTTAGTAAACTTGGAGGTTATGTGTACATATATAAATATTTGTGGGCTTAACTGTGAGAAAGCAGACATTCCCTCTTCTGCTGCAGTCAATACATATCAGCATACACTGACACCCTCCAACCAGCTCCTGCTCTGAGGCTCACTGAATATATTTGAACATACAGCTTTGTATATTTGAACACAGAGCAGTTTCACGCTCCTCACTTACATGCTGAACTGTACAATTCCTGCAGACTACCATCTCCTCATGTTCCATGCGCTCACATAACTTACCAGCAACCTAAACAACCCTAAGCCAAAAACCTGATAGACTTATATTGAACCACTACATTTTTCAAGACTTGGGTTGCTGTCCTGTCACTGGATCAACTGTCAAAGAATAGCGTGTTGTGATTCCTTTTCCTGACATTCGCTGCTGCAGAGTAAGCACAAGCTCCTGGGTACGCTGACCTACCTCCAGGCTCCTGACTGAAAACACACATAACCTTTTGGCTAACCTTTGACAAAGGGTACACCGCACCCCAGACAGTAACCCCTCTGTTTGGGCCCTTCTCCAGACAGACAGCAACGCACAAATAGCAAAAGGGACAGTAGAGAGTTACAGCGTTAATGTATCACAGCTCGCAAGCATAGCAGAACTGTCACACTCTGACAGGCAATGCCAGCTGTCCCGAACTTTTCTGTCTATTCTGTAGACTGATAAGAAAGAAAAGTGTATTTAAATATTGTCCAGGAAAAGAAATCACAAAAACATGTCAGAAACTCCCAATACACCAAGCCTTCTATGCCCTGAGGAATGCAAGTGCCCTTAAAATTAGAAAATCCCAGAGAAAGAACATGAGAAGAGAGGGTTGAAACAGAAGATGATAATCCAAAACAGGAAGAAAAACTAAGATACCAAAGGAAAGGGCAAGGAAGGACGGAAGCAATATTAACTGTGGAAAGTTTGGTTTTAATCAAATATGTATATACTAAAAGATTAATGAGTGAATGTGAGGGAAATAAACATCCTCCCGGCAATATAAATTATAAATCATTTATAGCATGCAATGATTGTCAGTTTATACAGTGCTGTACAAACCAGCAAGATTCCCTGCTTAAAGTTTAACCTGCTCGAACGTTAACATGCAAGGTCCTAGATACTGCACTCTGGTGAGCAAGTAGATTTTTTTTAGTCCATGAAGGTAAATGAGGCTCTACATAGATGCAATTATGGGTCAAGGTAAGCTCAAGAGAGACAAGAAATGGAACTAAAGACCAAAGGAGAATGCTGGTAGAAGCAGACACAACTCCACTTGTAGTGATTGCCTCTCTAGTGACCCAGTATAAAAGGACCAGAAGTAATTTCCATTTGATTCTGCTCCTTACTCAAGACAAGACAGCAAACTGAAACAGAAGCAAGACCAAAGCCTAACACCAACAGTTTCAATTGATTGTTTTATCCCACTCCATAGGCTGAATCACAGAAATACAGGCAGAAAGATAACCACACCACCTACTGCAGGTAATGCACACAATTTCAACCTAGTTTTCGTCTCCAGAGGAGGCCAATGTTAAATGATTCAGAGTAAGACTCTCTGGCCAAAAAACCAAACCAACCAGTGTTCTGCACCATAGCTGGTAACTGTATTCATGCCCTGGAGTGACAGCTCTCCATACTTTCATATCCAGAATCTAAGCCGGCTACCAGGATGTGGATTACCAGGTGCTACACCTTCCATCCCCGCTCTCCTTGCCTCCAGCACTTCTTAGTAAGCACTACAGTGTAACCACCTGTTCTTCCCCCACCTCACCTTAAAAACATCAGCTCTATCCCTGCTGCAGATGCTCTTGTTCACACGAATCTGATCTACAGCCAGAGGGCATTTTTATACACCTGCGATGACCTACTCCTTTCTTCGAAATCCAACAGCAGTTGGCCTCCAGCACTCTGATGCATCCCCACACACACTGCCTGAGCCTGCATGGTGGTTTCCCGCTGGATGTTTGGTTTCCTCTGTGTGATCCACCAGTTCTGATCAGTTCGTGTCAGTGCCCTCTTCAATAAAAAAACCCCTTGATATCTGCACTGATAAGGTATTTTCCCTAAAAACCTTTTCAACCCCCCAAATTCTGGTGGAATTTAAAACTATGCATTAAAAAAGAAAAAAAAAGAGCTTCTTCACACATTTCCAAAGACAAACCCTGTTGAAGCTAGGCAGTGGGGAGCCTCTAATAATAGGCTTGATTCCAACCTAGCTGCCAAAGAGTATTGCATGGTGGAGAGCTTCTCTGAACACCCTGATTTTGCCTTGCAAAAACAGGGCACGTTTCTTCTGTTCTGACTCCTCTCTATAGGACCAACTAGTCCCTCCCGCTGCTCCCCCACCCCATACACCCCTCTTTTTCTTTCTTTGCTACCTATAGACTTTTGGGCACTATTTAATCAAAAGAGCTTGTTTCTTTGAACTTTGCTTGAACAGCAGCTCAAAGCTTTTGGTACTGCCTCTAATTAGCTCTTGCCAGCAGGGCATGTTAAGTCTCATCAGAGGCTTTTTCTGCATGACAGTGCAACTGCAGTCAGAAAATATGACAGACTACTGCGTGAAGCATGTCCAGCCCACATGGGAGACATTCTTTACAGTGGGTGTACACTTGAATACCCCTCCCTTAAATCACACAAATTCATCCGCATTTCTTCTGCTAGAAAAAAGTGTCCAAGAACCCAGCACAGCATCTCCTTTGTCTCCCTCCTTTAAGAGGCCAGGTTCCTCTTGCTGCTAATGGGAAAATCTCCTCCTCCTTTCCTTCTGTAGCCTTCAAAGCAAAGATTTCAGTCCCAAGCAACCTATGGTCCACGTGGCTCATGCAATTTAAAAGCAGTTGCAGGTGGTAACCTGACCTACCCTGTATGCATAGGTCAGAAGATCCTATACTCACTGAGGCTCATGGGATACTCAAATAAGGAGCCTTGCTGCTATCAGTATTATACACAATACATACATGCAGGAATTATTAGGGTGATGACAAGCAGGTAAAACCGTGTTGAAATCTTTCTATTGATTTCACTAGAGGGAGCTCTAAGACTAGAAAACAGCAAAGAAAACGGTAACTTGCAGAAGAGCACTCTCACATTTAGTAGGAAAATCTGTGGCTGGTAAAAACTGCTCTGAAGATGTAATGTATTTGCTAGTGGGACTGTATGGAGGAGCTCGAAAAAGCAGCTTAGAGTTGTGTCTGGTGAGAGCAGGAGGAACAAGCGCACTACAAGACAACATTCCAAGCACAAAGGAAGCAATACACGTTCACTTTTTCTCTACATGCTGCTGCTTCATACCTGCAGCCTTCTTACTGTGCATACAGACAGCACCAATACATTTGCTTAAAGCCCCTGTTTAAATCCACATCTTCCAAAAGTTCTTCCAGCTCAGACCTGATTTCTCACAAGATTTATTGAGTCAAGGGAGCTCTTCTTCTTAGAAGCAGGCCTGTCTAATCAGAGTTCAAAAATTCCAGGCACCACTAGTACAAACATATCAACTCTGTGACCTGCCTCTCAATCCACTGAGCAGCTAGGGCTAAAAGATTCTGGAGATAAATCTGTATGGCTGTCTATAAAAACTTGGTTATCACAGTATTATCCAAGTAGCACCGATCAACAGCAATGGGGAAAAAGATGAAAGGTACAGCAAACTCACAAGCTAGGAAGAACTCCAGGTAGACTGCTCTGCCTTGTTTCCAGAAGATAAAATCAGAAAGAATTTAAAGAACAAAATCAGTAATCCCCATGAAGCATTACTGACTGGTGTCCTTTGCAGTCCTCTGCTGCTGAATTTTGCAGCACAAGATCAGAGAAAAACAGCACTCTTCTCAGAATTAGTGTTCTGTCTCATACAGAGATTCTGTCACCTTTCCGCAGCCTTCCCATACTCACCCTCTGTTCACAAACTGTCCTTTGCTGACAGTATCTGCTTCAATGCAAATATCCATGAAGTCTTCAGTGCGCTATGCAAAAAGAGATTCAGAAATCAAGCAGTTAACATTTCAAAATGCCACACCCATGATACTGCAATATGTTCACAAAATGTCCAGTCCTTTGTCCCACAAAAGGAGGCATTTCTGCATTTCGTGCTTTTTTCCACTCTCGACTTGAGATTCAGATTATAAATTATAAATAGTAATTTCTCATTGATGACTATTCAACAATAAATACCACAAGAAGTGAAATAACGATTCACACATTTGGCGGCTTGTTACATTTCACACACTTTTTAAAGACAGTAATAGCAGATCACTTGGAGTTACTTCTGTTCACAAAGATTTCTAATCAATGGGTCTTTCATGAATTTAAACAATAGTAGAATGATGCAACATTTGGCCACCAAACGCTACAGTAAGAGAATTTTAAACAATACAAATTGGAAGTCAAAGTGTTCTTGAGATTATTCCTTTAAACTCCTTACTTAGCTTCTTTTCTATTTACAGCCTGTCCTTAAACCAAGTATACAGTAAAGCTTTTGCCGGGAAAGCAACTTTGATTAAGATGCAATTCATTTTTTATTTATTTTATTTATTTATTTAAACATTTCTGTCCTGGCAAAAGTCCTAGTGCAGATGCAATCAAAATGACAAAAGTAAAAATAAATGCATCTATTAGTATAACTTGTTTTATTTCTTTGCTATATCTGCAGATGTAGGCTTGGCACTGTCTAAGCTGCACCTGTATGGCTTTATCAGCTTCTCTTCAACAGGGCAGCCTAGGCACGAATCTGAGGTGAGACAGAAAAGACAGGAGTGGCTGACAAAGCTCAGCAGATATGCCCTAGTATCGATTCGAGAGAGCTGTTGTTCAGCTTTGATGGCTACAGGGACAATGGTTTCAAGAGCAGGAGTTAAAAGCAGTTATAAGGGGTGCATATCTGTAGAAAAAAAGATGCATTATCAAGATACTTCCAGCCCTAGAAACAGGAAAGTACAACTGCCCTAACACAAAACTTGTCCCTTTCTCTAGGCTATGCAAGAGACCTGAGAACCCTACATCACTTCTTTGTTCAATACCAGCATTAAAGTGCATCCTGAAGGCATAAAGGAGAAGAAAAAAAAAAAAAAGAAAGAGAAAAAAAAAAAGGACATAAGGGCTAGTCTGTGGCAATGAGATACTTTTTTAGTTCTTGGTAGGTCTGTTTTTACTTCACATCAGTGACTCCATTTCAGTGACCAAAACTGTTCTGTTAAAGTACCATCTAGAAAACACTAAAATAACAAATACCCAAATACTAGTCTCAGTCTAGCTTCTACCATTACTAGGAAGGACACTGGTGGTCCAAATCATAAGCTACTGATGAAGAAGAAACTAGAAGTTTTGTGGTATATTCCATGGAGAAAACAGGAAGAAATTTTAAGACTAGATTTGCCTGTTGTTTGGGGTTTTTTTGTCTGATCCCACAAAGGTAACATATCAATATAATGCGAATTCTCAAGTTCTTAAAGACCCTGAATTCTGAGCAAGAAACATGTTGCAGTAAGTACACCTGTCAATCTGGGTGTAGTGGCAGTGGTTTCCTGCAGCCATGAGGATGACATGAAGAGCAGCTTACCAGTATGGGATCACTGTGTTAGCATTTTCCAGTAAAATTAAAGACTGACATCTATCCAAATGGCTTTCACAGCAATAAAATTGCACCAAAACACAGACATAAGCCAAAGACAGGTTTTAAAACAGTGAATGAACAGCACGAGCATGCTGAGAAGGTGATGACAGGAACAGTTCCCTTGCTCCCTTGGTTCTGCTCTTCCACAATCACCTGCATTTCCTGTCCTTCAACTCAGCATAGCCCCTGTCCGTTTTCTAATCCCAGTTCTTTTTAACTGTTTACTCTGTAAGCCAAAAAAGAGAGAAAAAGCCACAAGTCCAGGCAGATATTCAGGCTCAGCTTCCTTCCAGCACCAGCTGATAAAACAGCATCACTCTCCCATAGGTCAAGAAGGAAAGGAGTGCTTATTTTGATGATTTGTTTTCTCCTGGGCAATCTTAAAGCTTCTGTTTGGCTAGTAAAACCTTCTTGTACAAATTCTTCCTGATCCCACTGCACCCCAGTTTTACATGGGTCTCCAGTGCTTTCACACTGGCTCTGAAACTTGCCCATTCCTGGATTCAGTCATAGGCCACTCCTTGCATGGGATAGTAAGTTTTATTTATATAGACACAAGAATGGGGGTCTAGCAAGAAAGGAAAACTGTCAGCAGGCAGCATTTGGAATACAGCTATACTATGGTCTTACTGTCAGATCAAGCTGCCTGTTCCGAGTTGCAATGGAAAGTTCAATGGTGGAGAGCTTCACTTCTTCCCAGTCCTCCGGGGTTACCTCCTGGGGGACTTCTGTGAATCAAGAAGAGAAGATATCATTAAGTGGAATTTAATTACACAGATCATCATTTTGCTGCTATGAAGCATGAAACATCAATGCCAGCCACAAAAATTACTCTGACCCATTGTGACCACTAGCTTTGCTTCTTTCAAACATCAAAATCTTAAAAAAGAAAAAGGGAGCTTGGGAGTACTGAAGGAAAGAAAAAAAATACCACCAGCATTCACACAGTAGTAGGAAAGACTGTCGAGCACATTACATGGCAGCCCTGTGAGTCCTGCTTCTGTCTAAATCACTTCTGCTAGCCAAGAAGGAACGAGAAGGACGTTGCATCACACTAGATTGCGCAAAATACATGCTCCCCTTCCTTCTGCAGTCTGCCACGTGCGCTGCCTAGCTAACAGCCCAACCCAAGAGAGGCTCGCAGAGCACACAGAAGAAAATTTATGGTACAGAAAGAAATTTAATGTACTAAGAGAAACTTAAGGCTTGTGCATAGCCAAAGTTTTATTGTTCTATTTTAAGTAAAATTTGTTGCTATGAGTCAGCAATTCCCCCTACCCTGGAAAAACAAGGGCTGCTTCTCGCTCACGAGCTCTCACTAAGAAGCCAATTCTGCAGGAGGAAGATTTCAAGAAGCTCGCCCCTAAGTTCCAAATATCACCTATGGAGGCTTCCATAGCAATGGCAAACAACTTGTGAGCCCAGGGAAGGCCCTGGGTTCTTTACAAATGCACTTTTGTTTATAAGACCACAAGCACTGGCAGGACTACTCTGTTCCATTTCTGGTAGATACCGCTGACTGATATCTTGACAAAGTCACAGTTTTAATAAATAAATACTAATATAAAAATGAGAGAGCAGAAAAGTAAAGCAGAACACACATACACACCCACCTCTGACACATTAAAAGAGTAAAGCCTGCCTGTGAGTTTATGCCAAAATACACACACCTCACCTTTTGGAGGGGATGACCAGTACAACCAAAGTCGTCTGTAAAGCCTGACATACAAAGGAGGTCTGGACGGTTTCTCCTCTGGCTCTTCTGGAGGTCTCTCAGTTGGACCCAGATACATGAGAGCAGCTTGATGCTTCTGAGGCCATTCCTTGGATTTGCATGGACAGGAAAGACAGATGATAAAGGGTCTTTTGTTTAGCACCTACCTGTTTATTCTGTTTAGTCCTTCAGCCTATTTGCTCTGTGCTCCCAGTTACTTCTGCAGAGCTACCCAGACCCCACCACTGCCTCACCCTACTTTATGGCTCTCCAGCCTCCACATTCGTATGTGAGATGACATTTGTGCAGCTTGAAAAAGATTACCCACACTTCTGAAGTCTACTAATCTACTCCTTCCCCACATAGAAGTATTTTCTCCCTCTATAAACAGACGGTAAAGGGATGTTTTCTTTGCTGCTGATATGTGGCAGGCTGACACAGCTGCTTCTGGACGGAGGGAACAACCAAAACTGGCAAGATCAACATTAATGTTTGAAAGCACAATTGGTTTCTGCATGGTACAAAGGCAACCTCAAAGAGCAACTGCACAGCAGCACCTAGTGCAAACAGGCAAAGACTATGGTGCTGTGTGCAGCCAAGGGGCACTGAGACCTGGCAGGCCTTTGTTCTCCAACAACTCGAACAACCAAGATCTGACCTTATAGTCAGGTGCTTATAGACAGCAATACAACAGGTCTTAAGGCAAGTCAGGTGAGCTTTATAAAGCATACGAAAGGGGGGGGAAATAACACATTATTCTGGGTGGTAATTTGGATTCCAGTGCCAGAAATTGATGGGCTATAGAAGAACCTGAGCTCCTGAAATACTTCCAGATGCTGACAAAGTTTATTTCCTCTCATTTTGTTTAAAAATAATTTCTGAAATGCTCAAAACACAGTGCTTATGGAGGGAATAATATGCTTGTTTTTTAAGTGTATATACTAAAACAACCCAGCCAAGAGCCCACATGTACTCAATACAATTACTTTTCTATGCACAAAACTTCAGAAGTAGTTTTGGATCATATAACACAGGTTGTTAAGCTAATTCACCTCACACCTCTGAGAGCAAGGAAAGATGCCACTATCATACTTACATAATAAACAGGACAAACAGAGGTTGTATCAGTAGGGCAATACACAATAAGTATTAATGATTAAAAGGAAAAGCAGCAATGCTGTGGTAATTTAAGCCTGTATACTAGAAAAGATGGTAACACTCGTAACAATGCCCCTACCAATACCAGAGGTGAGCTCTTTCTCCTTACACTGTTTTCAGCTACAAGTCATTCTGTTTCAAAGGACAGCTAACGCAAAACCAGAAAAGATGAAGTGCACAGCAGCAAAGACAAGCTAGGAAGAGATTAAGCTCAATAGGCTGGAGCCATTTCTTATAGAACTTAACAAAATGATAACATAAGAGGCACATAAAGCAATGAATACCACAATTAGAGGAGATCAGGTAGAAACTTTTCTGTCTTAACAGCAGGAAAAGCAGGCACTTCTCTCTAACGCTCAGCAGATTAAACAGATCTTTTTAATGTACAATGAATAGCTCACCAGTGAAATCCACTATTGCTGCCACTAACGGAGGCTAAGGACTCAACAAAAGTGAGAAAGGGGCTGGAAAGAAGTGAAGAATAGGTTCCTACCTAGAATGCCAGCACACAGAATCATCACCTCACATTTCCTGGGCATGGGGGGGAGGGAAGAAAAAGTCTTTCACAGACACATTACAATTTAACTCTGCTTTACAGGAGCTTCCTATAAAGGAAGTGTTGGCACTATCACAGACAGCATGGCTGGACTGCACAATCTGATCTACTGTACCAGCTCCTGGGTATTTCCACAGCCTTTCATGAGGCTCCTTATATGTTCAGAGAACAGGAAAAGCATGTGAATGAAAATGCCTCACCTTTCATGCAGGTCAATTTTTAATCTTTCCAGGACCAATTTTAAGCAACACAGAAGTTTAAGGTGAGATATAAGCTATTAATCTTCACGTTCATTTTACTACACATGGAAGCCTGATCATCAACATGCACGAGAAGTCTAATTATAGACACTGCTGCCAGATGAATAAATCAGAATGAAATGTTACCACAGAAAGACTGTTGAGAAAAGGTGACAGAGCACTTTAATGATTATCTCCAGCACCACTACTGCTCCCCACTTTCAATGTTGGTTACTGGCTCCCCCTGGTGATCTTGCAGCAACAGATCCTCAGTAAAGATTTTTTTTTTT